ACACAGTGTTTCGCGATTATCCTATCTTTTCGCGCAGCTGGATCTTCTTTCTGCTGACTCTTTCTCTTTCTTCTTCTCTTCTCTTCTCTGACTCTTCCCATCTCTGCTTTTCATCTGTCCATATTGTCGGAAGCTTGACTTCTAAACTTCCTTCGATAACAGTTTTTCTCTAACTGTCGTCATGTCTTCACTTTTACATTTGAATTCATTAACTAACCTTATGCAAAATATAAAAGTTATAGAAAACTTTAAAAATTAAGGTTAATAAAATATTAAGGTTAGTAAAAATTTTCCAAATAAAGGTTAGAAAAAAAAACACGTAAAGGTTAGCAAAAACGCATGTAAGGGTTAGAAATGGCCTTCCTTTTTATATACAGTATATAGTGTTTAATATCAGCGGGGCAGGGGTCGTGTATGGTCATGTCCCCTCGTGCTGCGACAACAAAGCCAAAGTTTATGATCCACCTCCAATGTTGTCAAGGAATATCACATCACTTCCCTGTTGAAATTGCCCTGTTGATCCATTTTGGGAGTTTAAGGAAAATTAATTGCCTTTTTGATCAATTTTGTATATTTGGTGGTCTTTTGGGGGTATACCGGTATACCCCATTACAAGTCTAGACAAAACCAGATCATCAATGGCATCTCCATGAATCAGCGATATTCATCCTGTGCCAAGTGGCCTCTGGTCCAGTTGGGATGGATGGAGAAGTACTCATCGGGCATGCTGTACCTGGGTGTCGCGTCGGCGAAACGGACCTGGTCAAAGTTGGGAATCTGGACATTTCGGGTGGTCTTGAGTTCTTGTACCCAAAGAACTCCGACCAAATCCCACGTATAGACACACAAACACACAGATATATATATATATGTATAAGTATACATTTGCGCTTAAATAATTATGTACATATATATATATATATATATGTATGTATATATATATATATGTACATATATATATATATATGTGTGTGTGTGTATGTGTGTGCGTGTGCTTATATATATATATATATTAAAGATATATATATATATACATGAAACTCATTTATGTAAATATACATGTTTATATGATATGTATATAATAAGTATGAATATTATATGTATGTGAATATGTAGATATAAGATGATATAAGTATGCCGTATGCCACAGGCCTGATCGCAAACATCTGAGGCCTCAAAACTCTCTTTTTCTAAGGCTGCTGCTTTCGTCTGGCGGCTAAAACCTCGGAGGTCCGGATCAGCCGGACCCCTTCCCCTTGTCTTTTGCTGATTGTGAGTAAGCCTAATATGCTAAACCCGATAAATCATCCCCAGTGTCATCAGAAACGGGCTGTATTAAAACAAAGAATTTGGATGTGTGTTAATGGTTTTCACATATTACCCGCAAGATTCTTATCGTCCCTCCATTGTGAATACCTCCCAAAGGAGGCGAACAAGAGACTCCACAATGAAGAGATCCGGTGCATTGCACCGTCGTTTGGGGAGCATTTAACTTTTGAATCCAACCACAACCAACCCATGCGTGAATCCAATCATAATTAAACCGTGCCTAATTTGACCCGGAATAAACGGTTTTTAAACCATCCCCAATTAGGTTCGTCCCCCAATGGGACCTTCTATATACATTTCAGCCCAAGAGGCTCCATCCATCACTGCGCGGGTCATTTCCGACCAGCGACACACCGCCCTGTACTCCTGGATTGTAGCAGTTTTGATGCCCCAAGCCCGAAGCACGTCAACTCTTTTTCATGGCCTTCACATCTGTGGCCTTACCGAATAGATCCGAATAGTATAAATATTATGTATTAGCATACGTACATTCAAGTTGACGAGACTTGAACATCTTCAAACCATGTTAAACCATGTTAAAACACATCATTGGATAATCAGATATGATATGATAGAATCTCCCTGTAGGATCCTGTAGCTATCATTCGGATGAATTTCGCGATAACGGTCACCTGTGGCCCCACCCTTAGCATCCCTTAGCCCTTGTTCCTTTGAATCCGCTTCGCCCACAGACGACACGAAGGTACTCTCGCGTTCAGCCGCAAGATTGTTGACTTCAGAAGTCTCCATTTCCTCAGAGCTGGCACTGGAGGTGTGGTAACTTTGGAATCCAGCTTGGGCCCACGAGTGCTGCCTCTCATTGTGTAAATTTACCCAATTTACATTAATTTACCCTATTAGTCTCGCATATTCCATGTGTTTCCGATCTTGTGACATCTCATTCCCAACTGCTTTGACATGTTCCTGGGCAAAAAAGAGCATGTCATATTATTAATCCCTTAGCAGGAAAATAACTTTGGGGAATGTTTTCCATGTTGTAAATATTTAAGGCGATCATTTTAATGCTGAGGTCGACCGTCCTTATATTCTACTCAGATCGTCTCAAAAACATTCCCTATCAATTTCGACTACTTTGGCATATTCGTTCAGCCATCCGATGCTTGAAACACACCTCTCATCCCGTCCTGAGATGGGATTAGTTTTATGCATCACCAAACACAGGGAAACACCATGGAGTGAGACTTCACTCACCTAGCTCATGGGGAAAAACGTGTTTGGCACTTTTGTCCATGTTTTTCCCCATCTTTTGGGAAAACGCATGGAGTTTCCCAAGGTTTTCCCAGGGATCCCCAGAAACGACCCCTCGCCGTCAAGCTGCCGTGGGTTCCGCCGCAATGGGCTTCCACGAGGACCCGGGCTTCGGCGCCGGCAGCGCCAGGGTGCCACCGCGCGAGGCATCCCGGGCGGCGCAGCAGAAGCCGCCTCACCCGAGGGATACTTACCCGAAGAATAAAGATAGAATCAGGTAGCATCAGATATTCTATCAGATAGAATCCCTAAACTCCCATAGTTGGAACATGTTGGAAATCTAGTGACGTATGTCGACTCCGGTTTCAATCAAATGGCAGAAAATATGAGAAAATTTGACAATGCATTTCGGCATCGATTGTAGCGCATCTTCCATCGAATGTCTGCCTCTGGAGGAAGTGTCTGCATCAGAGTGGCCCGCAGTTTTGAACGCATTCACTGTCCTGCACCAGCCACCACCAGCCTCAAGCCCCACCAAACAAACAGCCCTGGCAGGTCGGCAGCTCCTCGCTGGAAACTTTTCGGCAAAAGATGCCAGCAAAGATTCCTTCAACTTGTCCACTTCCCTTGCGATGATTTCCTGGAAGTCGCCACCTGCTGCAGGAAGCCAAACGATCCAAAGGCTGGGAAGTGCTGATGTCCCAGCCTGCACCGTCCACCGACATTCTGAAGCTAACTTCCTTGGGTCCAACATGGTCCAACCAATAATTGGATGATGACATCATGGTCCTCATGGTATCTGCTGGCCCGGGTTCCGGCTTTCAATTTGACACACATTCCGTCCAGCACATGTCTAGTGTGAACAAGTTGCAGAAGCGGAAGCCGCAGCGGCGCGGGGACCGAAGCCAAATGCCCCCAAGAAATCTGCTCCAGTGTTGGAGTCTATGTTCTCGATCTGCTCTGCATATATATATATACAATATATTAAAATATTATATATATAATTATAAATGTATTATATATCTATCTCCCATGTTGGTGCATGTTCATATATGATACGAGTATGTGTTTCCTGTACGAGCATTGATTTCACATGCTGAACATTCTGTCCATCTTGCCGGATCTTCCATGGTCATTCCACAGAACGAAGTCATGTACCCCTCTTGTGCTACACGCCGCGGAGCACAACACATCAAAAACATCCACTAAATATCACAAATTGCACCATGACAAGGATAATACAAGGATCAGAGTTTGATATATCTTGATACTACTTGGCTCTGAGATTGTGGAAGGACTCACATGCTCAGATGGCATACCTTCCACCACTTCCGCCTTGCAGCCTTGCAGCCTTGCAGCCCCGTGGCGGTCCTCAAAAACTCCAACATGCCTCTGGAGGTTGCACATTGCACCAAATCCGGGGCAACTATGGGGAACTGGAGGTTGCCATAGGTTTCCCAAAGGGGAGCACCAATCATCCAAGTTGTTGATCATTTGAAATATGATGAAATAATGAAATATGTTTAGTCGGACACCCATTTGCGGCACCCTAATTTTCAGAAGCGACACGAGTGGCTCTCGCACATTTCCGTGCTGTTTCCACCCAAAGTGTCACATATGTTCACCATGCTTCACATCGGATCACTTGGATCTTGTTGTGCCAAATTAACCGACGAAGTCGCCGAGTAGACAAAGTTTGGTCGAAATCAAACCTCATCCAACTCGCGTGCAGCATCAATCCATGGGCACCCAAAACTACTGTCGAACCTACCATGCAACAACAGTTCTTTTAAACATAATATGTCCACACATACTCATGGTCTTGTATAAGATGACATCCGCATGTCTCGGATAGTATCAAATGAATTCAAATGAATTCAAATGAATTCAAATGAGCCATCTCCAGGCTATCTGCACATATCATCACATATCTGGACAGCAACTGGGCCCCGTGGCACGATAACTGCAGCGGGAACCGCAGGACTCGACTGATGCTGGATGGGCTGAGGGCCTCAACCATATGATCAAGGCAGTTTGCAACGGGGTTGATGATGTTATTTCACGCTATTTACAACTGGTCTAGATGACTGCAGTTCAATGATGTTCGATGTTCTTCATCATGTTCTGTACTTGATAAACCTTCGCAATAGTAAGAGAAAACTAATTATGATTTCCTACTTGCAACATTTAAGACGATGTGCTATTTGAGCCATGTTCTAAATGTCTTGTATCCTGGCACCAATAAGGAAATGCTTACGCCGGTGCTTGCGTTTTTCTACGCGCGCACAGGTTTTGCTGACGCGGATACAGTATCTTATCTTACGCTGAGCTTACGCTGGCTTACACTCACCAGAGTTTTGCTTACGCCACACCCTTACAACAAGGGGCACCTTCCTCAACATGAACACAAGGGTTTAGCACGTGGTTCGTTTGAATCTTAATTTGATGCACCGTCGGTTACCCCTCACTGCGCCAAATCTGCCAGCTTCGGACCCCAACCAGCGGATTTGAACGGGATGTAGGACGGATTCAATCCTTGAACGGCACCTTAAACGCAGCATGTTCATGGCGAAAATGGATGGAACATGGCAGAATAGACACCGTCAAAAATCCATCAAAATTAGGTCCCGATTTTTAGGCCCATCCTTTTGGCATCCGACCATATCCAGCCATATCCAGCCCACGTTCCACGTCAATGCCACAGTGATTTGCCGCCACCGAAAGGCTGGCACAATCCACGTCTTCGACGTTCTTTGGTGGCGATGGAAAACCCAGCTGTGACCAGGCAGGTATTACCTGCAGTGATGTCTGAAGGACAGCAAGACGTGGCTATGGGTGTAAAATGTAGATAACTGTAGCACGTAGATATCCACCATGTGCTGCGGAGCACTTCCAGTCCAGTGCTGCCCATAATACCATGCCAGAATATCATGCCTACACCTGGCCACATATGGCAATGACAGAAATATCAACCAGCGCACTGTCGCAAATCAACGCACATCAGCTTGAAATCAACATACGTCATCGCAAATCAGCAACTCTTCCTTAACTTGACCTTGTCAAAACATGCCAAAACGCAAACCTTTGCGGCATGGGAAACAACTCTCGACATCTCACGGCCCCAGCTGTGCCCAAACGCGCCGCCTGATCCTTGAACTTGGCGAGCCACTGCCGCAAAACGCGATTTCGGCCTGGAGAGGTGTCTTCCGGTCCGAGAATTTTGCCCAAGTGGCAAAATGGATCCCAAATTTTACATAAAATCATCAAACATTCGCCAAAGGAAGTTTAGAAGAAGTCAAACTTCCGACAATATGGACAGATGAAAAGCAGAGATGGGAAGAGTCAGAGAAGAGAAGAGAAGAGAAGAGAAGAAGAAAGAGAAAGTCTCAGAAGAAAGAAGATCCAGGTGCGCGAAAAGGTAGGAAAGTCGCGAAACACTCTGTTTTTCCAATGATTTGTGGCTCCGGAGGGTCGAAAAGTAGGCTCGCTTTAGCGGGTGCGGAGCCAGCTGGCCAGATGAGAGATGAAAAAGAGCACGCCGTTGTAGCACATTTCCAAGTCAAAATGTGCAAAGCACACCAGGCCCGGACCACTTTTTGAAGTTGCGATGTCGAAAAAGTGCACCCGGTTGCAACGCGAAGCACATTTCAAAGTCAAAATGTGCAAAACACACCAGCTTCAAACCACTTTTGGAAGTTGCGATGTCGAAAAAGTGCACGCCGTTGTGGCGCGAAGCACATTTCGAAGTCAAAATGTACAAAACACACCAGGTCCGGACCACTTTTGGAAGTTGAGATGTCGAAAAGTGCACGCCGTTGTGGCGCGAAGCACATTATTTGGACGTTCAGATGTCGTTTCGCGTGGCAGGCGCACGGGACTGTGCACCTTGTCAAAAGTGAGCAAAACGTGTGGGTTTTGTAGCATTTCCAAAAATGATGGCAGGCGTGGAACCTTTGAAGAAGATCTGCAAAGATGCATTTTCTGTGGCAGGCGCAGCTGTTAGGAGGTCCGGGCGCTGATTTCCTCAGAGGGGTTGCATTTTGGAGCATCAGATCCCCAGGTTTGCTGAGATGATTTTGCATGACAGGTGCAGCACTTCGTATGACCCGGTATCACTTTCTTGTGGCAGGCGCAGTAATTTAGACAGGTGGAGTCGAAAAATCGCAAAACACATTGGTACGAGGCCGTCAGCTCTGCACTCAACTTTCCATTTTTGAAGGAAGTCTCGCAGAATGGCTTCATTTTTGATGCTGTCAACTTTAAAAAAAATGAGGAAGTCTCGCAGAATTGCTTCGTTTTTGACGTTGTCAAGTGCAAAAATTGAGGAAGTCTCGCTGAATTTTTGCGAATCGCAAAACGCATTGGTACGAGGCCGTCAGCTCTGCACTCAACTTTCCATTTTTGAAGGAAGTCTCGCAGAATGGCTTCATTTTTGATGCTGTCAACTTTAAAAAAAATGAGGAAGTCTCGCAGAATTGCTTCGTTTTTGACGTTGTCAAGTGCAAAAATTGAGGAAGTCTCGCTGAATTGCTGCGTTTTTGATGTTGTCAAGTTCAAAACCTGAGGAAGTCTCGCAGAATAGCTTCGTTTTCAAGCTTGCAGAGAGACAGATAGATAGATAGACAGACAGACAGACAGAGAGATAGATAGAGAGAGCGAGCGAGAGAGAGAGAGAGAGAGATAGACAGATGGATCGATCGATAGATAGATAGATAGACAGATAGGTAGGTAGATAGTCAGAGAAAGAGAGAGAAAGAGAGAGAAAGAGAGAGAAAGAGAGAGAAAGAGAGAGAAAGAGAGAGAGAAAGAGAGAGAGAGAAAGAGAGAGAGAAAGAGAGGGAAAGAGAGAGAAAGAGAGGAGACCTCAACCACCTTTTGGTCCATCAGTGGATTCGCTCTGCCATCCGTGATTCACAACAACCAACCTCTCATATAGGCCTATAGGTTTCCTATTTTTGAAACCTCCGCCACCGCCTTGTGCGGTACTACTGGTATAAGAAGTATATTATAACAATATATTGAATAGTTTTTTTATATATATATATATTTATATTGATATATATATATACAATTATATACACATGATTTGCGTGAATGTATGTTATCCATATTATCTACAAGATTGGCCGTCCCAAGAGTCTTGGTGGCGCCTGCGGGAGTCTCACGCTCCAGGCTGGCCTGGAACGGATGTCTCTGCAGGAGTCCAATGTTTCCAGGATGCTATGGCTATCTATAGATAATATCTGATCTACCATATTTGCATATACTATGATCCATCTATTTTGGCTTTGCCATGGCAGCCTTCAGCGCTGCCATGCCGAAGTGTGCCTGCAGGGGAAGCTCACCAGAATCAGAAACTTCTGATAACTTCTGTTGGGATATGGATACGAACTTGGAACTTGGAAACATCACTGGGGGTATCTGGGGTACAGTTTTGATGGAAGCTTTTGGAACTTAGATTGGAACTTGCAACATCTTGGAACCATCAAAGCCCCAGGTGATTGAAAAGCTCAAACAGGTAAGAGTGTAGAATGAGAATTCTGAGGGATCGACAGCTTCTTTGACTGCCCATCGCTCTTTTCTAACCTCGGCTGTTGCAGCCCTGGTGGTGAGTGAATTTTGAACACGAAACTGTAAAAGCATCCCATCTCATGAGGGATGCCTTAAGGGGATACCCCCGTCAACATACCTCAGAATAATAAAAATATTATTCCGGCATCCGTTGAGTTAAAAAAAATATTCTAAGAACACAATGAGTCCATATGGAAAAATGGAATAATTTCCATCAAAATGATACCGGTATAGTCTATTTCTAGCCAAACGCAAGTAATCGTAAGCAGCTGCGCGCAAACGGCCGAAAACGGTTTCCCTTCTTGCAGAGCTGGGGCACAAATTTATTCAATTTTCAACATAATCAGATAGGATCAAGAAGAGTCAGAATAGTATCTTTAAGCAAATTTCCTCTCGGCAACCCACTGGCTGAACATGGTTTTAGTTGGTTTTGGGTGTTTTTCCAGTTTCTGGGCTAGTTTGGTGGTTCTGGCCTTAGTGGGAATGAGTGGGAAAAGCAAAATATTTGGTTGTCACTGGTTAATTTTTTTGCCAATTTCTGGATTTGTTTTGTGATTGTAGCAGCTGCCCCCTTTTGTTTTTCAGGGGTGCCAGGCATCTCCAATACCGCCAGAATAATTTCTCCCCTGGGGAAAGCTCGAAAAAAAAAACAATTTGGCTCTCTTCTAGAGGTTTTCCCAACTTTGCGTACGCCCCTCTATTTCTTCCATATTCCCTTCATTTATTTCCTTCCGAAAAAATCCCGTTGGCCATAATGGGAATGAGTGGGAAATGTTTGGGTTTCATTTGTTTTATGTTAGTTCTTGCCAGTTTCTGGGCTACTTTGGTGATTAGCTGACCACTTTCGTTTTTGAGGGGTACCAGGCATCTCCAATACCCCTAGAATAATTTCTTCCCTGGGGAAAGCCCGCAAAATGGCACTCAACCTGGCTCTCTCCTACAAGTTTTCCCAACTTTGCGTCCGCCCCCCTATTTCTTCCAATTTCTTCCATATTCCCTTCGTTTCCTTCCAAAAAACTCCCGTTGGCCATAGTGGGAATGGGTAGGAAATGTGTGGATTTCATTTACTTTTTTTTTACACTTCTTGCCAATTTCTGGGCTAATTTGGTGATTAGCTGTCCACTTTCGTTTTTGAGGGGTACCAGGCATCTCCAATACCCCTAGAATAATCCCCCCTGGGGAAAGCCCACACAATGGCACTCAACCTGGCCTTTTCCTAGGTATTTTCCTAACATTCCCTATTCATTGCCACCCAAAGAGCTCTCGAGAGAAAGTACCGTGAGAGAAAGGTGGTCCGGTGGACACTAGTTGTGCGTGCAAGTACGCTGCAAAAAAAGGTTGGCAGCAATTGCCCAAACTGCATGATGCCTTAAATAACTGCAATTGGCATTTCCAGCAAAAAGTTTTCAGGCAAACACCGCCAAGCTAGGAATTCTAGGAATGGCTTTTGGAAAGGCCAGGCCAAATGTAGGAACGTTTAGGCTGTTTGAAGATGTTTTAAGATGTTTTAAGTTACCAAAAATTATTCCAAAACCTAATTATTCCGGGGTATCTTGACGGGCTGGATCATGATTTTTAAATTCCAACATGCATAATCGTATACCTACCCCCCTCAAAAATTATTCCTTGAAAATTATTCCAAAAGAAATTATTCCATAACCTAGTTGATACCCTGGAATAATTTCTTAAGGCATGGGTCATCCCATCTCTCTGCAGTCAGCTCACAATTCTGCATGACATCAAGGTGCTGCACTCTTATATCTATAATCCTTGTCAAGAAAATCTGTTGCAAGAATCCATTGCAAACAATTAGTTCGAATCCCTTGAGCAAAGCACATTAGCAGCCATGCGGCCATGCAGTTGACCAACCCCCACATCTTACTCAACCAATCACGCTGAAGCGCAGCTCAGTCACTGCTTCAACCAACTCCAAGGTTCTTCCAGCCTTGAGGCAATCGGCTTACCCATCTTACCCAGTGGGGTAATCAAACATGGCAGTGGGCAATACATGGGATACCCGGTTGATACCATATAAATAGAGGTTTTATGAGGAAATCATCTATAAATGAGGGATTTTGCCATTGTCAGGTTTCATCATCGGAGGGCAAGCTTGCCGCAAAAAATTGGGCCACACCCACGGAATCAGCACTTCAGAAAATCAGATCCAAACCTTCCAAAGCCAGTCACTTGTAAAATCTTTGAAGGACTCAGCCACTGAGCTGCACACATGTCCACTTTCTGCTGCAGCAATGAAGTCCCTCACCTTCAGTTCCAAAGTCGAGCCGGGAAGCACATGGTGAACGGATCCTGAGGCAATTACCCATGCATCGGACATCCAGGGGCCGATGGGTGGGCCTTGATCTATAGGTCCCATCAGGCCCATCAAGCTGGAGCCAAAGGTTTGTTCATCAAGTTGTTTCATGTAAAAAAACGGGCAAAGAGATGTCCCACGGCTATCCGGCCACAAGATCCACAAGGCAATATAAAAACGCACAGTATGATTTTAACTTGTTTTGGGAGAAATTAATTTAGGATAAGAACTACCCAACTTTAAGCTCAAAGGTTTTATGATATTTTATGTAGCCGCGATAACCCCACTTGGAAGTACCGCTGCCGTCGCATCACAAACATCTTTTCGTCGCCAAATCGGCTAAAGTGTGATGTCTCTACAGCCGCGGCGGCCGTGGGTCTGGGCAAATCACCAGTGATCCCATGTGAGCCCAAAGAAATTGATACCTTAAGTATCATTAAGTGACTTAAGTGCCAACTTGGATAGGATAACCAGGATAACCCTCAAATAAGTAGAAAAGGAATCTTTCTTTCACTTCGTCCCAGGTCCAGTTTCGTCGAAAATCCTCTACAGTCGCTCAATGCGCACCATTGCCATCTAGTCTTTCCAGCAAAGCTCCACTAAAATCAATACATGATAACTAGATAATTTAGATCATGTATGATAATCTGATACTTAGATACTTATATAAATCTATATGCTCATATACTGAGTGGGAGTCTCATTTCATCACCAAACCACTCAAAAATCACAACGAATCGAAGAGTTCTCCCTGGACTTGGGCCGCCATGACATCCGGCGCCATCTTGGCGCCGGCGCTCACCAGCCAAAGCCTCGGGCCTGGCTGGAAATTTCGAGATTTCGGCAGGGGAAAAAAGATGTCGGCAGGTCGTCCCTTAAACCAAACCATAAAGAGAGCCGATAGTGTTGAAAATGTCTTAGATACATGCGTATGCAGCTATAGCCTAGCTCTAGTTGGTTGGAATTACTATATGAATTATTTACTACAAGTCTTCAAGTATGTGGTATCTGTAATTGATCGTTACACATTTATAATATTTGGCTATTAGCTGCTGGTGAGAACTCATAGTAGATCATAGTTGTTTCTTCCTGATAATGATTAATTATAGTCCATTATAGCTTAATGATAATGATTATATATATATATATATACGTATATTCATTATATAATTGATACTAATGTCACGACCCAACAGTCAGTAATTCAGGTTGAGAATTAATATCGATAGAATACATAGCCCCTGATCATAATAGTTGGGCCCCCAACTGGTGAATAGATCCAATGCTGAACTGTGTTTTCGTTCCGAAGTATTTAATATTAGGGGGAGACGGGCTAAAATATATTTATTTATTCTTAAATAATAGTTTACACAAATTTTACTGTCACAGATAACAATGATCTGACATGACCAAACATCTCAATTTGGCCAAGGCAATCTCAAAACACTGTAAATAGTAGGTCATTCTAGCATTCCTGAAAAGCTCAGGTAGGTACAGTAGGGAACATGTGCGTCGTTGCACAAGTCATACTGATCCCTGACACCCTATTTTTTTAGAAAAAAAAAACTTTAACCCAAAGCCCCAAACCCTCAAAACCATGGTAATATAAGATGAAACCTCAAAAACCTAAACACCTAAACCCTCAAAACCATGGAAATATCAAATGAAACCTCAAAAACCTAGACTCCTAAACCCTCAAAACCATGGAAATATCAAATGAAACCTCAAAAACCTAAACCCTAAACCCAAATTCTTGAAACCTTAAACCTTGGAAACCTAAAGCGATGTTGGACGAAACGAGATGTTTGAGCATAATGCAGAATAATGATACTGATAGTGAGGATAGTGTTTATATAGAACAATGAGAACAATGATCCCTCATCCTCATCAGTCCCATCATCCCCGTCATCATTATCAACATCACAAGTGCTCCGCTTTTTGGGGGGGTATGTCCTTGCCATAACAAGATCCACCACCATTGGGTATCCAGCCATCATGGCCCTCTGCTGGGCCAATGGTACACCAGGCACCCCGTACCTCCGAAACTCCACGTTTCTCCGTGAATTTCGGAATCTAGAATCTACCATAGTTATTGAAAATGGCCATTTATAGTGGATTTTCCCATTAAAAATGGTGATTTTCCATAGTTATGTTAAATTACCAGAGGGTAGATGAATCTAGTTGATGGTTCCAACCCGGGATCCAATGAAATTAAGACTGCGTTTTGATCTTGCATGAACTGCTCATGGCTGATCCTTCAATGATCCGCAGTGCATGTCATGTGAGAGACTACTAGGGCACCCCTGTTGCTGCATCCAGGGTCTTTGCATGCCAACTGGCATGGCCTCAGAGAACATGGCAATTTTTGGTGTTAGATGTGGGTCTAGCAGCTCGTTTGATGTTTCTAAGTGCCCGGCACCAGGCATGCCGCCTGGCATGCCGCCTGGCATGCCGCCTGGCATGCCGCCTGGCATGCCGCCTGGCACGCCGCCTGGCATGCCGCCTGGCATGCCACCTTGCATGGCGCCGGGCATGGCACCAGGCATGGCACCCGGCATTTGCATTTGCTGCCGTGCTGCCTGCTGCCTGCAGTGTGGGAGTGTGGGATGCGAATGGCGGGATGAGAGGTGCCAAGAGATCATGAAACGTCCCAGTTCAGTCAAATAAGGTCTGTCTCTGGGCCCAAGAATCCCCACACGCTTACAAATGCTTTCAACACACGGTTGCCTTGCCAAAGTCATGAAACATGGCCTCTGTTGCTGCTGTAGCAAGGCTTGAGGCATTGCTGGCTCCGCTTTCCTCAGGGGTGCAATCAAGTTGCCAGCCCTGAGGCCTCGCATGCTCAAACCCTGAGGCGTCGGCCCAGTGATCACTGGACCCCCGGCTTTGCTGGGTATCACGATTGGCGCCTTGCTTGATGCCTGGCAGGATTGCGCAGAAACCAGGGAGACTCATGAAAGTTCTTGTTTCAGAGATGTTGGAAGTAAAAGTCATGTACAATGCCAAGAAGGATGCGGTAGCCACTCACGGGCATGTCGAGGTATAACCGTGTCCATCCTGGAGCACATAAACAGATAGAACGATCCAATTCCGCATTGGGGAGTAGATGGATATGAGAATTTGAAACATCCCAAGAAGAAAATCATCTGAATGATGACCCTGCACAGAATGTCCGGATATTTCATCCACATGCTCTGAGTCTAGGGATATCTTTCCATTGGAACATGGGACGACACCGCAACAAGAAACAAAGTTTTGACCACTTCCAAGCCTGAATCCGGCGATGAAGGTTCCACCATGTTCCACCCACCCAACATATCCCAACATACCCAGCACCGGCCTTGACAGCGGACCCGGTGGCAAATTTCAACCGAGCCTAGGTTCGAACCGTGGCCAGGACTCCAAGTAGTTTTTCTCGGGTATGGTCATCCATCCCTTCATGGTAATCCTTATAAACGAACGGCATATACACCCTTATATATAAATGGATTGATGGCAATCCCCAATATGGGTAAAGAAAATTAAAGAAACCATAAGATCAATCTTTCGACGATGACGCAAATGATGTTCAAAGAAAATCACTTATGACTTATAACAATTATCGTGTAAAAGCTTGACGAGCTCACACACACACACCACACACACTCTCAATCGACAGCAGTTATGCCATGTGGTACGTATACCTGTGGCCACAAGGAAACTTCAAAAGGTTTCAAAACGTAGGTCCCCACATATGCTAGGTCCGCTAGGTTTTCAGAAAAACTGAAAGCTCAATCCATTCAAATACAACCTCTTACTCTTGGATAGAATGGTTTCTTCGCCACCACCCACGGCTCCCTCAGGATTCCGGCACTCTCATCACCTGCATTCTGCCCAGTGGACGGGAGATGTGTGGAACTTCTTGTGCTGCTCCCACTGCTAGTTGAGAAAAGTTGCCAAAGCAACTGCCCTGCTTTAAAGACAAATATCCTACATCAAGGATGTGATAATTAGCCTTGGTGTTGTCATGCTAGTGACACTGGTGGCAGTCATGATATGTCCCTCCGAAGATTATGAAGTATCTCATAATGACAGTGCTGGAAATGTGGCTGGCTTCTTTCCAACAAATTTGATCCAGAGACAACAAAACTGCGATCTGTTCTTTTGAATCATCACCCCCCCAAAAAAAAACTCAAGACTCAAGTGACTCAACCAGCCAATGTCATCCAATGTCATCCAATGTGTGTAGGCCTGCATCAAGTCGTCGCAAGCGCTCGCGACGAGCTTCTTCGGTGAGTTTGACAAAAATATCCTGGGTCTCTCGGCCAATTTTTGAACGTCCAAGTAATCCAAGTAACTGTTCAATGGCTTCCTGAGGAAACTTCGGACTGAAAACCCACTGAGAGCCAGACATTTCCCTCCTGCTCTGGAGCAAGAGTCGATTCTAGCACCTGGCTATCAAACGATTGGATGATGCTCGGTGATTGGCTATGACTAAGCGTGTTCTGAGCCAGATTCAGTGGTCATGTGGGATTCTCAAGCTTTGACGAGAGTTTGGACTTCATTGTTCGATCAACTCCGACTTTGTACGAGCAGTACCATGCCGGAAATAACATATCCAGATTTGGATGTGTTGATAAGATGATGTACTTCAGTTGCACTGCAATATATTGCAGATAGAGAGGGACTCAAGATACTCCATTCCGACTCCCTAAGTCGACTAACATCGAACTGGGCCCGGCGCTTTGGGCGGGCAAATGACCACCGTGTCATTGACGAGACCGGCTAACTCCTCCACTGTCTCGACTCCATAGTTCTTGGGCTGCAAGCCCTTCTTGTAGTACCTTAGCTGCCATCATCCCATTTTTTGTTGCGGTTTCACATGGTTTCACTGAGAACCAAAAAAAACTCCCGCGAAGTTTTGAGTTGAATGCAAACATCACTAACAACAAACGGAAGGACGAAATCGGTCTTGGGTCTCCCACTTGTTGTAGTAGAAAAGGATATGATCCGGATAGATCCCAGACCTGTCATGTGAATTCATGTGACACTTTTGGGCTGCTTCCCACCCTTCATGGCTTCCAGCCATCCGCAAGTGCCCTGTGGCCGCAGTGGAGCCTTTCCGGATCGCCGCAGTCGTGCAAAAAGGCATGCGCCAGAAGGTGCAGCTCAAAACGCAAACTCAGCAGAGCCCAGTCCTGGCTGTGGTGGCCAAGGGTTGGGTCACCTGGGGTCCATCAGCCGCAACCTTCCAGAAGCCTAAGAGAATCTACAGTATCAGTATAAAGATCTTTGGTACGCGATGGTATGAGTATCTTTATCATTCTTAAAGCTTCGTCAGATTTACCTCAGCCATCGTGACCGTCTGCCCCACAGTGCCCAACAAATGCCTATTATGGCCATGCTTTATGGGAGATGGGCCGCAGATGCCTCGAAGCCAAAATTGCAAAAGAGCAGTTCGCCAGTTCCAATGTCCTTGGATCATGGCACTGAACTATCGATGAAGGCGCTATGAGCTGCTATCGGTGTTGTTGGACCACGTGCCGCCGAAGCACAGTGATGTCTTCGATCTCGAAAACGTCGTTTTCAGCTTGCTCCAGCTCTGCCTCTAACTCTTTCAAGTAGTCCACATTCTCCTCCTCCTCCTCCTGACTCAGAACTGGTGAGAGCTGCATAATCAGGCATCTACTACCCAAAATGTCGAATACATTAGAATACCGATGATTACTTTTTGTGCTTGCATAAGCCCACTTACATAGAATTGACCGCACTTGTACGGTGAGACACTAACATATATAGCCCAATCTTGTTCCATTTTTGATTTTTTTTGAGTGGCATTTGGATCGCCCTGCAGTGTCTCTGCCTCTTCAACTTTCTTCTCCTTCGCATCCGTCTCCATCTTGGATTCCTCAGATTCCTTGGGCTCTCCCTCGCCAGTGTCCATCTTCGCCGCGACGCCCTCTGTCTCTTTCATTTCAACATCTTTGCTCCTGGGAAGCAAATTCTTTGAGGCAAAGATCCCGGGAACCCGCTGGAGAACTCAATGGAAGTCAATGAGATTCAGTGGTTCTGCACGTTTCTGCATCAGGACAATGCAACTTCCACCTTCATGCCACTTTTGCAGCATCAATTCCTACAATTTCCCGGTTTTTGTCCCGTTCCATTCGCATCATTTCCCATCACCAAAGTCAAGCCACTCTTCAGGCTTTGCGCCCTTCCGAGGCGCCGGAACACGATATTTTCCACAGTTGAAGCGGTTGAAACCATGGTGTTTATGTGGTGTTTGGACCACGTTTTATAGAGGTTTCCCATACATATATATATATATATATATATATATATTGGGAAAGGATTGCAGTGACAAACCCAAAGGGTATACATGCTTGGACTAAGTGGATGTACTTTTTGTTGATGGGATGTCCCTTTGGTCTGCCTGCTCACCGTTCTTGGCTTCCTCCTTCTGCTCTGGCATTTCTGCGTCTTTGTTTGCAGTTTGATCCGCTCCCGGTTTTGCTTCTTCTTTTTGTTCTTTGTCCTGGAGAGGTGTCGAACCATCTCATCTGACATGGCGCACTGATTTTCATGAATCGGCCACTGAATCGGTCATATATCACCTTCAGCCCCATTGCATTCCGAATGAAACAGTACAAGGGTATCCCAACTGCGGTGGTTCAAACCAGTAAGTCTGATGGGAGGGCTGCTGTCTTGTCCTGCTCACCGTTCTTGGCTTCCTCCTTCTGCTCTGGCATTTCTACATCTTTGCTTCCATTTTGATCTGCCTCTTTCTCCTCTTCCTTCTGTTCTTTGTCCTATATAACAGCACACACACAAAAAAAAAAAATGTCAGCGATCTTCAGCCACCTGGAACCACCCAGCCTCCACTTTTTGTGCCAGTTCCTGTTCTTCCTGAAGCAGTGGTCACTATTTGAACGAGCCACAAGGAATGCGTTTCATTGTTAAGCAGCGAGATGAACAAACAGCAGCGGGCAAGTTTGTGATAGTGGGATAGTGGGCATGGCAATATACCAATATTGTCCAAAATCCCAACACAATATGGCAGCAACCATTCAAACATCAACCAACAACATCCAACCATGGTGATGTCATCCAAATCACAGCTTCACCTGCTGACAGGGCACCTTTTCCTTGGCTTTGGCAGCCATCAGGGCTACACGCTTCGCTGGGTCCTATGTAAGTGGCACTCCAGGTTGGCCGAGGGACCGGGAAAAAGAAAGAACTCCAGAAACATCCAGACTCCAGAAAATACGTTGGTTGGTGGTTTCTATCTCGTATACCCACCCATACAATGGTCCAAAATATGAAAGTCAATTGGGATCTTCATCACGGTCGAAAATAAACACATTTCTGCAAACACAAAAGCCAGAATGCTTTTGAAATGCCGAGGAATATAATGAAACTTAATGAAACATTTTGAAGCTCTGGCACTGTGAGATAAAACAACATTGAGGATCATTGAGGGGGCGGTGTCAGTCGCATTCTCAATTCTCAACATAAAGCGCTTTTCGCAACGCTTCAGTCGGATCCATCCGATGCATCCGTGGCGCCGGCACCTCCCAAGGCGGAACCAGCGACACCAATCGGAAGTCCCTAGCGGAATCGCGCCTTGGTCACCGGTCGAATCGGAGTCTAACAGCATCATGTCTGAAGAGAACTTGGGATCCACGTAGCCCTGGCAGGTGCTCATGTGTGAAAGAACTATGATCATCTATGATCAACGAAGGCTGTATCAAACTGATACCAATATTCTAGTGCTGCAAGGCCTCTCAAACGTCAAAACTTGAAGCCTTCATGCGTTCTTCTTTCAAGTGCTATTGCTGCTACCGTGTGGGAAAAGTAACTGCGCTTGAACTGCACTTGGAAGCTGCAATCCATGGCAAATGCAGCAGAATGCTACAAATTCCTCATTCTCAAGGCCTCTGGCAAGCTGTAAAGCGGCTTGTCCAAGTAAGGCTTGTGTCCTCGCCAGGTTGGAAAGGGAATCCCCTCAAGACCATCTACTGACGATACCTGACGATGATAGCACAAAATTGACCAAACATACAAGTTATCATAACTATGTCTGGCATCAGCACCTATCAACCATCATCAACCATCATAACTATCCAGTTTCGGAGCCCATCGTTCCCCAGTCCTGGATCTGATGGAATGTCGGCCAGCGACTTTGGCAAGCATTCAGCCAGCTCCTCGTCCAGCTCCACCATCTCGCGATCCAAAAACTGTCGAATGATCTTCATCAACTTATCGGCACTCTCTGTGTCGCCGTGCTGTTTGTACCTGGAGCTGGGTGTGTTTTTTTGGGGGGGGTCGAAACATAGGACATGCTGAAGATACAATGAAGATACAGTATGGAAAAAATACAGAAATACTTCACATATTGAGTGGTAAAAACCGATGGTTTCGTATAGATGTTCCCTTCAACGCAGCAAGATCAGCAAGAAGACTTGAGGACTTAGAGCTGGACCCTTCCACTCCGTTGCCGAGTTCCTCCAACATGTCAGCCGCCCTGCGGGTCTCACCCAGCTGCGTCATAACATAGGGACCCTGTGGACCCTGCATGAGACATCCATTCCTGCTAGCTTCCCATAGACTTCCTACACTACTAGGCTTATCCTAATCTTTCTTGTAGGATTGGCAGGTGCAGCTGATGGAAGGAGTGCGCTATCACTGGCCACTCAAAATTCCACCAGAGTGGGACTGATTCGCCCCCAGTGCCCAACAGTGGTTTTGCAATGCCGCAGCTTTTGATGACATCCCCATCCAACATTTTAAGCGCCAGGCTCACTCAATGTCTCCAAGACAAGCGCCACAATGGCTTTTTCCTAAGGCTATCTCGGCGCCAGAACCGTCTAATGTCCAGCAAAAGTCAGAGGGAAGCTCAAAGATTATTGCTGGGAAATATGTCATGCACCACCTGCCACCAGATGTCTTCGAACTAATCAAACGGTGCCTTGGCATATAAATATGTTGAAGTATTTAGATAATATGATATATATATATAGAAAACAGAAAGGGATGAGAGAGAGAGAGAGGGAGAGAGAGAGAGAGCGAGAGAGAGAAAAAAAAAGAAACGAGAAAAAATACAAAACTATATATATATACAGAATCACAAGAAGAACCCCAAAATTGATGAAACCACCCAACCCATCTGACATCAAACAAAACTGCGAGCCGCATTTCGGAGCAAGGTGATGGCGAGCTTTCCTCGGGCGAGCCTGGCAATGCAGCTTAAATGGCTTAAATCCTCTTTCCTCTGCCCCAATCCACGGAGTTATTCCAAGGATCATCACATATGGTCATGCTATACGTACAGGATATGGATGAACAGCGTGAACAGCATCGCATCCCAACAGCATCAACAGCTGTATCATGTTGTATCATCATCAGTCGATCGAAAGAAGAACCTTCTTCACTGGCAAGCTCTCTCCCTCTCTCTGCCTGCCTACCCCAATCCCTTTATGTCACCGTGTCCATCTGTCTACTATTTTCTGCGTGTCTACTGCGCTGGTGACTCTATCACTCTACCTTCATTTCCGTATGTTTCTGTCTCATCATTGAGCTATCTGTCTGCCTACCTGCTTACTGACCATGGGTTTGTCATCATTTTCCCTATCAAAATTGCCATGTTGGAGGTATATCGGCATACCAAGGATGTAGAATGCGAAACGTAGATATAACATGATATAACGTGATATAACACCTATTTGTAGATGGTTTAGTGTACCCCCAGTTTAAGTCAGACCCACATCGACCCTCCGCACCATCTACCATCATCTACCTAGCCTCTCCGGAGAGCAGCCAGAAGACAGCAACTTTGGATCAGGCAACGGTGCGGAACTCACCACCCAGTTCTGCGGGATCTCGTGTCGCCGCCTCGTGGTGGCATGGTTGCAAGGGCCCCTGAAAAAGCGCCGAAGAATACGGAGGTATAGTGGGATCTTAATGGGCATATGAAACATTGGAATGTGTTGGGATATGTACTAAACAAAATGAATCAAAATGAGTGAGAGTTGGGTCTATTACTGTCCGAAAACGAGGTATACCCCCGAAATGGCAATCTTGACAGGGAAAATGATGATTAACCAAATGGTTTTGGGACACTGTAATGTTTATGTAATTTTCAGACAACCCTATTTGTTAGTTCGGGGGTCTGAAATATCATGAAACACCCACATTTCATTGGGTGCAACAATCCCCTTTTTGGGCCAAGTGATGCCAAGTGGCTTGTTTCCGACAAACTGCACGCGAAGGGTCTCTTCCATGATTGAAAGAACCACTGCTTCGCGCGGTTTCTTGCTCTTACCAATGGAGCCGTCTTTGCCTTATGTTGCTTCAATGTCTTGGGGACAAGAGGTAGCAAAAGGTAGTAGTAAAGGCGAATGGAGCTTCTTGGTTGGAGCTCCAGGTGAAAATTGATATACGACACCCAACAAAACCCCTGATATCAAAGGTAAAGTGCTATGGAACTATGGAACCCAAATAAAACACGTCCATGCCGAAGGCCTGAGGCAGATGCTATCATATGATAGGGAAGGAGCGTCGACGAAAAGTAAAGAGATGCCGGAAGATTCAGATTGAATTCCCAAGATGTCCCAAAGGGCCCAAGATGTTCCCAGGACCTTTGCAAAACCATGGCAGAAACTTCAGCCGAGCTACGCTTTGCTTTGAAGTACGCCATTACCTCAGTTGATCGCTCCTCGAATAGGGACAGGTTTCAAACCGGGTCTTCAACCCCAAACTCTCTATACTTGTCAACTTGAAATAGGGAAATGATGATGAACATTGATGCAACATGGGGGGGTTCAAAATTTGAGGCACACCCAAATTGTATCAAAGTGCGAGGTGCTTGTTCAGAGCATCAATCAATGGTGAACTGGTGGTTGGGTGTGGTGGTCGATGGAAACACAGCTCGGCACAAATCCAATGCGTCAACTCTCCCAAAAAGTCCCTGCAACTTGACTCTCATCCCCCCTTCACACTTGCCCCCAAGCATCAAAGCTGGAGCCCAAAAAAAGAGTATTATGAGTATTCAATAGTATTCAAGGTTCAGAAGGACAAATTGTCCAAATCACCGAAGACATATTATGAAAGAAACAGGCTCCCATCTCCAAACTTTAAAACCAGAAGGCATGGCGGATAAAGGACATGGGGGGACATATGATATTCTCCAGGCTGCGGTTTGATCCTCTTGAACCACGATGACCCCATCAGTATCGCCAAGAGGGAGCCCCGTGCCACTGGCGATACGCTCCTCGGTGACCACAAGTGCATTGAAATCTATCGTATGCCACGAAATGACCAGTGTAGGGAAATTCTTGATATCGTCATTGATCATCCCTCCAATTCATGAAGTTTTGGGACTTGAACCATCTTAAACCTATTACCGGTCAACAGGCTTTCCATGTGTTTCAACTATTGATTGCAGGTCCAGAGTAGTCTTGTATAACTATGTATCTAGAAGCCGCGCCAGGGCAATGCACCGGATTTGATTTGGGTGTGGGGATGGAGATGGGATGGACAAGTTGACCATCGACATGGAATCTGCAGCAAACTCACTGAGCTGCTGACAATCATCTGGTTCTTCTCCAGGAGTGCCTGTGCCAGCCGGACCATGGATTCAATGGTGATTCAATGGTGATTCATGTGCACCCCACCAAGCCTGCTGCGCCCAGGTGGCCACCGTGCGACGCGCTTGTACCTCAATCTGGGTGTCGTGCACCATCGTCAGCACCTGCAGGGGGAAGGTTTGGGAATTTATAATTTCATGTCACGTTCCGTCATCGTCATTGTCATCGTCATCATCGTCATCCTCGTCATCCTCATCCCATTGTGGACATTGTTTCCCATAAGGTTCCGTCAGTCCATATGGAATATACGTATAATATATATATAAAAAAAAATATAAATATAGTGTGTTTGAAGGCATCCGAAGGCATCTGTCCCATGATTTTCGGTTCAATGTTCTTGAAAGCTCTCCAGTTATCATCCCGCAATCATAAAGTGATGATCAATCATTTGGGCGACTCGGTCAAAAAATAAATGTCATAACATGATCATCTCCCATAACCACAACTTTCCATCCAGAATAACTGCTCGATAATTCTTGGGAACCCAATCCACCATTTTCATCCATTTTCCATCCACGCTGAACAATCCCTCATCCAAATTTTGGTGGTACCGAATGGTGCTGGGATTTGGGATGATTTTCCATGATTTTCCCAACACTGTGGATGGGGGTCAACAAGTCCGGGAACATAAATGTCTTGGCCCTCTGGCAAAGAAATCTGGAATGGGCAAAACATGTTAGCAGGTTTGATTTCAAACAAGGACCTCAGTGGATCTATGGATCAGGTCGATTCACAGTCTTCTGTCAACCTCAGCATCAATGACTAGTGGATTCAAGATAGACTGAGAATGACTCAAATTTGATCTTGGAGGTGGATCTGCTCCAGGTTTCAATCAGGAAGTAATTGGACACCTCGTCCACCTGTTCGTCACTGCTGCGATTTCCGGTTGAAGGATAACCTGCCAGAACCAACATTGAACAACCCATCAACACCTCAACAATTAACATGGACAGTCGACTGCCAGAGCTTGGGATTTTCGCCTCTTTCCCCCATTTGGATCCATTTGGATATTATTTAGATATTATTAACATGGGCATCCCGGCGGCATCCCCCAACTTTTTGTAGCTGATGGCATTCAGATGCTTGTAGAATAAACAGTAATAAACTCAACGTGGAACGGATGTGGAACTGGCCATGCTGCAGCCAAGGGACTATCCAATTTGCAGTGCCGAAAAAATCGCACGAACCATCGCTCCATCCATGCTTTCACATCTCCTCAAGGAGCGCACGCGGAACGACTGCAAATCCCAAAGCACAGTGGTTTCAACATCTTTAATGGGGGATTATAAACCATAGATATATTATAAACTATTATAAACCATACTGTAGTGGTTTCACAGTGGTTTCAAAGGGTTTCAATATCTATAGATATCTGAAATGCGTTTTTTCCCAAAATAAACACTTGAGAGGGGGAACACGAAAGGTAGGTGATCAAGAAGGGGATTCAAAGCCTCTCTGTGTAAAAGTTGGCTGTGTGTAAATACAATAAGTGCGCACAAGTGTCTGTGTGCAATTTGTGCCTGTGTAAAGACATCTGTGTGTAAAAGCATCTGTATGTAAAAGATGTTGTGTGTAAAACCTTCTGTGCGTAAGACTTCTGTGCGGAGAACTTTCTGTGTAAAAACCGTCTGTCTGGAAAAACTGCTGTGCATATTTTTTTGTGCATAAAGGCATCTGTGCGAAAAAGTTTCTGCAGTCTAAAAATTGTTCTGGGTAAAGTTTCTAAATTCAAAAAAAAAACGGTCTTTAAAAATTTCTGTGTGCAGTATGTGTTTACAAGTTTCTCTGTGTCAAATGTTTTTGGTATAGAAACAAAAACATGTGTAAAAATTGTTCTGTGCAAAGGTTTCTCTGTGGAAAAGTTTCTGTGTGTAAAAACGTGTAAAAAAAACTATGTGCCTTTATCTATGCGCGCAAAAGCATCTTTGTACAAAGCATCTGTATGTAAATACTTCTTTCTTTGCGTAAAACCCTTTTTGTGTGTAAGGGCGTCTGTGTACAAAAGTTTTTGTTGGTTTTGTTGTGCACAAACCTCTCTGTGTAAGAATATCTGCACGTAAAAACTGCTCTGTGTAAAGGCTTCTATGCGTAACTTCGTCCGTTTGTACAAACATATCGGTGCAAAATGCGTCACCACAGCAAAAACGAAAAAAAAAAAGAATCCAAGATCAAATGCTTGATGTCGTTACCGTTGTTGATGATGGTGATGATGCGCGCAGGGCCCCCTGCGGTGAGTCCCAACTATCCCAACTGACTTTCTTGCCGCAGGCTTCTTTAGCCCAAGTAAAAACAGGTGTTTTCGCTGCTCCGCAGGCACAGACAAACCCATCTAGTTGCTTCAAAGACTCCGCCCATGCCAGCAATGTCAGCAATCAGAAAGCGCCCCTTGGCCCAGAGCTACCGCAATTGTCGGGACACAATCGGATCGAAACGTTGTGTTCGATGCGCTGCCAAGCATCTGCTGGCAACAAGCGTCCCGTGCCCATAGCCTGCTGTTTGAGGATGACGACCGGATCTTAACAATATCTTGACACTATCTAAGCTCTGAACAATATCATAACAATATCTTTAGAATCTCCGAGCTTCATCGAACTTCAGGGTCAAACTGTAGAACTGCAAACACCTGCCCGGCGCAGTATGGGGAAGTGGCCCCAAGTGCACCTCGTCTGGCAAAACGAAGCTGTAGTTCTTGCAGGGTGTTCCTGGGATCCGTGGTCCTCGAAAGTCCAACTTGGCCTCAGCTCTGCTACTTAATCGTGAAAGGTGTTCAACCCTGGTGGCAAATGCTTATATAAAGAAGATTAAAGCAGCGGAAAAAAAGAATGAAACAGAGCCACTTTGGATACAGAAGTCGCCCAGAAAGGATGAACTTGGGTCAGTCTTGAGGTCGCTGCATGTTCCTGGAGCAGTTCCATCTTTGTTTGCATGTAGGTCCTTGGTAGGTATGATAGGTGCCACGACCCTCAGCCCCAATTCGAAATTTCTGGGGCAGCACTGTGGTATCTTCTGTTTCTTCTTGGCAAGCCGACCAGGTCCAAAAATCATCATGCCGGTGGTGCCGGAAGGTGCCTTTGGCAAACCTTCTCTGCAGGCTGAATGGCGACGCATCAGTGGGAGCATATCTTTCCTCCCAAGATCCATCAACACTACTCAACTACCACCTGGGAGATGAAATGCCATGCCTAAAGGGGCCGCAAGTTTGCCAGGTGGATTTGTCCAAAAAGTGGGTACCCCATGGGCCCCATGGTACCCGAAAATTTGGTCAAACTTGATGATCGATCATCATGTTCCCATGTTTTCCCGATGAAAGATGATGAAAGCTTAGTTTGGGACACAGCCCATGTTTGGACAAATCCAGGTGGAATTTCAGGAAGAGCTTCACAGGCTACAGCTGGAAACCAACACATTTTGCTAAGAAACGCGTTCACACTAGAAGTCAGCAAAGGTTAGTTTTTCTCTGATAGTTTTTGCAGGGAAAATCTGAAGGCTTGCAGATCCTGTGGGTGGAACCTCTTCGACTTCAAAATTGAAACCTTGGGAAACTACTTCGTAGCACGCATCGATTGCTAGAGAGATCCAGAACCCAATGCTAGAGATCCAGAACCCAAGTCAAAGATGCGCATCAACAGTGCCAGAGTTTCGCCAGAGTTGACGCAACTCAGCACAAATTTAATGCCAGCCAGATACCAGCAATAAAGGAAGATAAGATAAGTAGGAATAAAGGTCGGGACAGCAGACAGCACAAAACCTGCCAGCAAGCCCTCAGCAACACGTCCTGCCATCAAAATCCTGTGTCCAAGTTGGTGGCAGGACCTGTGCTTCATCTACCTCATGCAATTATTGTTTCAAACAAATGTGGAAATCTGCAAGTTCCGTTCTGCTCAGCATAATTATGCTCAGCGGGTTGTTTCCTCCAAAGCTTCTTCATCCAAGGGCTGAAAGCTCGGACTGCTGTTGATCCTAGGCTCGGAACAACTGAAAAACGAACCAATTGGCCAATGGCCTATAAGTATTATTTATTGTCCTATATTGCCCTATGCTTTCTCATTTGCCTAGTATCTTAGACCCAGCCTTCTCCCATAAATTTGCCAGGCTGCGACACCTTTCGTGAGAGATGTGGTTTGACCTGGCTTTGTAGCCCAAAGGTTCCATGTGAGAGTGGTCCACCAAATTCAAGTTGAGTGAAAACAAAACACATGACTTGTTGGATGGTTTTGGATAGTTTTGGGGTGCCAAAATTCCCTCCAAAATCCCAGCCTCTTCCGAATAAGTGGTCTGCAAAGTGCTCGGCAACAGCAACGGTTGCGAGCTGCCGCCTGAGCCCTGCGAGCTCTGAGAGTTTTGTGAAGAACGCCGGGGCCCTGGGCGGGGCTTGCGGTCTTCAACCAATGGAAAAAAATATGAAAAGTGGATGAAAGTGGGAGAACCACCAGGAATTATCAAGAATCCAAAGAAATCCTAAGAAATCCAGAGCAACCCAAAAAAGAAGTCCGAGAAATTCCGCTGGCAAATGTTCTGCAAACAAAAAATTGACCAAAAAATGCCACCATTGCTGACAAGCCTTGAGCAGGGACTACAGGCACTATGGCCTGCACCTTCTTGATGTCGTGCACCTTCTTGGGCCTTGGGAAAGTTTTTAAAAAATTGAGGAACTCTTTTGTTGGGCACCCCATGTTGACCAGAAATGGGTTGAAATCTGAATCAGCATTTTGCGCCTGTATCTTCAACACATTTCAACACTGATGGTGAAGTAACATCATAATGAATTCTTCTGCAAATATGGCAGGGCCTGTTGCCTATTGGATGCGGCGTCGTGTGTTACACACAAGGCATTGATCAATATTGCTTTGGAGGTTCGACTCCTCCCCGGTCCGCTTTGCCTGATTTCATTGCTTTTGTATGCTTTTGCGGCCGTTTTGTTCTTGTGGCAATTTCTGCTTCTCCTTCTGCTTCTGCTTCTCCCTTTCTCCTCCTCCTCCTTTTCTCCTCCTCCTCCTCCTTCTCCTCCTCCTCCTTCTTCTTCTTCTTCCTCTTGCTCTTCCTCTGCCTCTTCCTCTTCTTCTTCTTCTTCTTCTTCTTTTTCTTCTTCTTCTTCTTCTTTCTTCTTCTTCTTCTTCTTCGTCTTCTTCTTCTTCTTCTTATTCTTCTTCTTATTCTTCTTCGGCTTCTGTTTCTTCTTCTTCTTCTTCTTCCTCTTTTTCTTCTTCTTCTTCTTCTTCTTCTAGACAGTGTTTTGTATTGCTGTGCGTCTTATTTCCGGAGCCATTGGGAGAGATTGTTTGGAACCTGAAGCACGGCTCAGCCGGTTTTACTCTAAATATCAACGCAGTTCAGAGAGAAGACTCCCCAATTCTTGGAGACTTGGGAAAAGCATGTTGAAGAAACCATTCTTCAGGTCTTTGACAGTCAGAAGTGTAACTATCCCCATTTATCATATAGCTTTACCGCATTTTAAACATATTATTGGATCATATTTTTTTTGAAAAACAACGGGGGGAAAAAGGAAAAAAAGGATCCAGCTCCGACCAGAAACTACATTTATTTACTCTCTCTCTCTCTCTCTCCCTCTCTCCATCGCCTTCAGACCAAGTCTGCCTCAGTCTAACTAAGGGACAAAGGCAGGTAAGAGTAGATTTCGGTTCCTATTGTCATCTATTCTCTATAGATTATTTATATATATATATATATACATATGTGTGTGTGTCTGTCTTAGTATTATATACATACATATAATTTATATATATATATATATAATTATATATATATATATATATATCTACTGAACATGGACAACCACATAGTCTCAAGTTCCCCAGCCCCCATTGGGCGCATCACTTTTCGTCTGCATAGTGCTTCGTCATCTGAGGGCCTCGGCAGAGCCATTGGAGTTGCTGGTTTTCAAAACGCAAGGGGACAACCATCAAAAACCAAGCCTATGGGTAGAAAATCTATGGAACATCTCAAGTCTTGAAGTATTCTTAAGACCTTGGGGGTCAACGACTTCATGCCTCCAATCGCACTCTTATGGAATAACAACCAAGAAAGACCCCAAAGCCCGAAGCACGGAGTCGTGTAAAGCTCGATACAATTATCAGTGAATTCACAGGTGTCGTCTTTTGAAGAAGTCAATGGAGTCAATTTAGGAGGTCATTTGCGCTCAGTTGTCAATAATCTTGAGCTGCACTTCATACCAAAATATACCAAGCTGCAATCATGAAGAAGCCGGTGCAGCATCACAAACTCACTAATCTCTTCCTGAAAATTCAGGCAGAATAAGGTGTGTCACCAATCCTGCTGGTCAATACGGTCAACACTGGGGCTGGGTTTCTATTGATTTATCATTCCTTTTCAGACACAGCAAAAGCCCAGCCTGCCCAAATTCTGGAGAAAAAACAATGCAGTAACATAAAACTATATAAAACTTATTTCAGCCATGTTTTACGAGTAACATCTACAAAAGACAAGCTTGACTTGGGTTGGCCTTTCTGAGCATTTCAAGCAACGATCCCGTTATCACAGTCCTGGCCTTGCGCTGGTCCTCTGCATACTGTGAAGCCAACCACTCCTTCTCTTTACGCTCCTCAAGAGCCAGGGAAGGTCATCAGCACGTGTTCACCATCATTGCCAGAAAAGTGCACCATCAAATGCAGCCATGGGCGGTCCCTATCCGCGTTCTCCAAACATGCCTGGCGGTGTCCACACTTCAGCTTTTGGCTCAAGCTTCCACGCAAGAGTTTTGTTTCGTTTCGTTTGCATATGTTTATATACATACATGCTACACACATGCTTCACCCAAGACATTGTTTTTTTCCAAATGTTTTCTATGTGTTTTCCCACTGCTAGGTCCTAATCCTCCTATTGGATGTCGTGCCTTGCGGGGCCGGGAAACGCCAGGTGATGCTCCGCTGCCCATGGTGGGTGCAAACAGGATGACGATTTCAGCGATTCTTAGGTGATGTAGTTGTTGATGTCGTTAATGTATGTTGCTAATGTTGTGGTATATGATTTGTATGTTACTGCTTGTTTCTGTATGTTGGTTTCGAATTCCTGGTGGGACTACGGCTTGTATCGCTTGCGGCCAACGGCCAACTGGCCAACTCCATAGAGTGTTGAGCTGCGAAAGGACTGGCTCACGACTCTTCGAAATAAATATTGGTCCGAAGTTGTTTAAAAGAAGTCGTGAATAATTGGCTCAGGACTGGCTCATTGGCTCACGACTTCGATAAATTATATAAATTGAAACTAGCTTGTTTTGAGCAATGCATTTCCAGGTCAACGAACTTCATCGACAAGCACTTCATGATCTTCATGGATCATCATGGAAGGTCAACCACAAGCCGCTTGCCAATTCTGGTAAGGCCAGGACTGCCGCGGATAGCTGCCAGGGTCCGTTTCGGGACCAGCTAGCCAGCAATTCCCACTGGTGTTGCATTCCTGACACGGAAGTTTCCGGCTGCAGCAACCAGTCATGACCCAAACAGCTTCACTACTGCTGCCAGGTCTCGACCAAGTCTGCATCACTTGGAACGCCTAGTTTCTCTGAACCAGGAACAACCTCAATGCAATCCATGTGCCCCTGCAGCAGCACGAAGCAACGAATTAATGCAATACTGACAAGCCACCCCAAGATTCGCCAGCAACCACGCTCCGGATTTTTCCACCTCAGGAATTGCTGGGGCCAGCGGTGCAATATCCCAGAAAGGATCTCAAACATAAACATGAAGCTGCAACATTCCGACAGAAGTTCTGCTGATAGCGCAGAACTTTTCAGAACTCTTGATATGTCTACATTACATCATGAACCGATGTTTATCCTGCAATATCTTGCACATTCTTACTTGAAATGGTGGGGGAAATGATGAAAACATGTCTCACCCAGCGCCAGGACTAAGAGCCCGGGCTCGCTTATAGAGTTGCTCCCCAGGGCGCAGGGACTTCATCCCGGTCAAGACCAACCTGCTCAAAAACAGGAACCGTCCGAACCGTGGATTCCTGAATAGAAACTCATACCAAGGCATGGGTTTCATAGCTAATGGCTCAATGGTCAGGGATTTCCAATGGAAAAAAAAGTATGGGCAACAGAATGCATTCCCTAGCGGAGCTGAACCCTCGAGGGAGCTACATCCCAACTTTCCATAGCTTTCCCATTTTGACACTTTTAAGGTACAGGTACAGTCGCCAGCATGCACATCAGGCAATGCGGCACCTCTCTAGAAGCATGAACAGTCCGGTCCACCACCGAAAATCCCGGCAGTTGCCGGGGGTGAAAATCGGTCTGGATCTTGGCTATCTGCAATCCTAATTTTCCTGAGTGCCACCCGGGCAGACAGTGTAGAATAAGACCCACAAGCCAATTGCCATTTCTATATGCCGGTTTCTTGGCTGATTCTTGTTGTCCCCTTCCAAATGGAAGGATATGGAAATTTCCTAAAATGGGGATACCCCAAATCATCCAAGTCTTGAAACTCATGGTTTTGATTGGTTTTGGGGATCCCCCAATATCAAAAGCTGGCTATTGGCTGTGCCACCCTGAACAGTTCAACAACTGCTATTGCTCCCATCAGAGGAGACATCTGACCTGCGAGGCAAGCAGGCAACGGTTGGACCCAAGGGTCGGGTAGCAAAGGAAACACAAATTGCTGGTCATATCTAGTCATATTTCCACATATGACCAAATAGAGTGTATATTATAAATATATTATATTATATATACCTACCGCAGGTTGTGAATGATCATCATGATCACGATAGATCAAAGCGATCGATATTTGTGGCAAATGATTTGTAGCCATGACAACATGATCACGGAGGTGGATTCCACAGCATCGCAACCCAGCCTGGCTTTGGCGGAATCCTAGCAGTAGCTGGGTGAAACACCAAAACATGGGGAGCTTTGAAAAAAGAAACAACGCAACAACAACAAATATAAATAAGCTTCGGTGGTATCCCCAACAGCCGCAGCGTTTTATTTTTACCACTATTTCTCAAGCATGCTGCCAAGCCAAGCGCTGGAAACACCTCAGCGTGCTCCAAAGCCTCCCAGACCTTCTCCGGAACCTTCTCTGGACCGAAGCCTCCCAGGCCTTGTCCGGAACCTTCTACGGAACCCGTTGAACCTGACTTGGCTTTGCACCAAGGCTTCCTGGAACCTTCTCCGGAACCTCCTGACATGGCTCTGACCTTCTCCGGAACCTTCTCCAGAACACTGTTGAACCTGACCTGGCTCTGCACCAAAGCCTCGGAACCTTCGCGGGAATCTCGTTGAACCTGTCTGGGCTGAAGACCCCATTAGCTTACGCTGTTGGGAAAAAGACCGTGCAGCGTCCGTTCCGAGCCCCCTGGCGTAAGCCACTTCCGGCGGCTCTTTTGACTTCTGGTCAATGTGCTGCAAGATCATCAAGGTGGGCTTAGTGATGACCTTGGTCCATCCGACACGGCCTGGTGAGATGACCAGCTGTTTCCTTAGATTTCCTCAGGCTGCAACGGCAACGGAGACTAGCCAGCTCACCACCTGGGAGTTGGCCCGGGGATAGCTGCTACGTAGCTATGGGTATCAGCTGGGGGTACGACCCAAACTTATCCAATTGTCCTATGTTTTCCCATCCCAGTTGCCGCCAGTTGTGGGTGGCAACTGGAAATTCCTCTTATGGCCTATGGCTCTCGGCTGTATGGAGCTTTATAGGAGGTGGATGGAGGTGGTCTGTTTTGGTAGCATTCTGGCCATTGACAGCAGTCCAAATCAAGAGGTGAAAGACCTGGATACCTTCTTGGTACGGGAGTCGCATTCAAAGGTGGTGCTTAAAGAAGTTCAAGCAAAATTCCCATCTGCCAAGGTACACAGCCCAGGGCCGGGTGCCACAACAACATGAGCTCACTGGCAAGCCTCAGGGAGGCGTTGCTGGGAACATGGAACATATGATGGGTGACAATGGTGGGCTTAGGTATGTTATGTGTGGAAAGTATGTGTGTATTTAGAGCATGCAATCTATACATGCAAATACCAATACAGTAAATAGTTGTGAATAGATGGGTGGTACCAATAATGAGCAATAATTTTATCGAAAAGTAATGAAAACTAAAACTATAATAAATAAACGGGTACTTCATTGCAAATGCCGGGAGGGGTTGTAGTGCGCATGTCCTCTGGGGTTTATTCAGCTAATGTGTTCATCTCGTCAGTCATCAAACTGTCAAGGTGCATTGCGTACGCAGCCGCGGAGAGCATACCGATAGTCATAGGGCCCAAGGCTCCCAGTGCCACCTCCTGCAAGAGTCGGGGAGTTCTGGAGGAATAGGCTACATGTTGCTAGATCTTGGAGCTAGAATCAGTTGGACCCAGGGATTGTGACACGTTGAGTCAAACTTTTAAAAAATGTTTTAAGAAAACATAGGTTGAAACCTGACAGGCAACAAGTCAGTCCTCCCCGTATCCAATCCACAGGATGGCAACCACCATGACTGACCTAGGTCGATTCACTACCATGGCCGCCCCGAGAGAGCTGATACCTGGGCCCCCTGGGCCCCCCTGGGCTTCCAGCACTACGGGTAAGTTGGCAAGGATCCCAGCCAGCGCCGGTAAAGATCGAGCCAATGCCATGGCCGTCAACATCACACCTCACAAAACCCATCCCCGACAGGGCGCTAGTAATCGCTAGGTATCTAGGGGTGAACCAAGTTCACAAAACAATGAAGCACTTTTTTTCAGAACTTCCTGCATCTCCTGGCTTACTCTGGGTATGGATGAGCCATCGCGGTGGAGGTGGACACCGTATACCTCACCTGACCTAAGTGAGAACCCTCGCAAAAGGCGGCTGAGGAACAAAAGGTTGCCAGACCGCGTGCCACCAGGACTTTGCAGCTACTGCGGGGTTTTGCCCCAGGCTTTGCATCGCAGAGGGAGAGGTACATCAGGAGCAAGCCGACCAACAGCCTTAGACCAAAACTGTTCAACGGCAGCTAGACCTCATGGTTGTAATCTTGCAAGCATGGTACTAACCCCCAAAAGTTGGGATAATCGGATATATATCCTATAATTATGGTTGATACATCTCCTATAGCCTATAATATCCTATAACTATTATGGTATATTATGGTTGTATAACCACTGGAGCTGCTTGAAATCTCCAAGCAGCTCCAGCACAAATGCTGCAGCCGCTGCGAGCCAAGCAATGGCCATGGACTGCTCCTTGGGCCGCAAGCCCAGCATGATGGCCGCGAGTCCACCGGCATAGCCTTCGGTCGGCATGCCCAGACTTTTCAAAGCTATGTGAGGCTATGTGAAGATATGGGTATATAATGAATTATATAATTGATATATATATATATATATGTGTGTGTGTGTACATGGAGATACTGAGATGCTAGTCTTTGCATGTGCAAATAAAGAAATTGCGGATAGTATATATATATACATAATCCCTGTACGAGTTCACCGGGTCAGGTTGGGGCCTGTGATTTTCTACTAGAAAATGGATGTTGTATAAATTCGGGACCCAAGAAAATCTAGCTACAGACATCAAACCAATTTGAGGTACCCTAGAAAAATGGCAACCCCCAAGAAGTGCATTTTCGAAGCTATGGATAGCATTTTTTCTTAGAAAAACATCACCCTGCTTGAATTGCATAATGTTGAAATTACGAAATCATTTTTTTTGAAAACAACTTCCGGGGAATGGTTCTCTTTTTCTAAAGCCCAACATCCAACCCATCGATTTTTTCGAATTATTCGAATTTCATCGAAATTCCATCCCATTTCCATCCCACAAAATTACCCTTAAATTTTGATTAAACCCTCGTTTGGGATAGAAATGACCTACCAGTGCCCCTCTAGAAAATCAGGGACCACTAGAAAATCTAGGAACGTCCTCCCAGAGATGCTAAAATTATGCTCTTGGATTTTGGGCACTTAAGCTACCCAAACAATTCCACATGCATCCAACACCAGAGACATCTTTTTCGGATGGTGGAACCTGGTTGGGTTGACCTCAGCTGGGATCTGTGCTGCAGCTGGGTCTCCTTTGTGCATGGTTCGCACATTATACCCTCCACCACTTATGGGTGGGTGGGTGAGGAAAACAAAACAATGGGTGGACGCTTGCCAGGGCACTTGAGCCAAAATGGCACCCATGGCAAGCAATCCACCCACCAACCCCTTAGCATGCTGAATTGTTCAGCAGGAAATTCCGGGGCTCCATTTCCTTTCCCAACAATTCCACATGCATCCAACACCAGAGACATCTTTTTCGGATGGTGGAACCTGGTTGGGTTGACCTCAGCTGGGATCTGTGCTGCAGCTGGGTCTCCTTTGTGCATGGTTCGCACATTATACCCTCTTCTGCAACTGCGCGATCTCCATGCACTTTTTGCAGACTTGTCCTCCTTCCTCCGACGCCAGGAACATGTAGTCCGACTTGTGGTAGTGCCAGCCGCACATCGTCTTCCAGGCCAGTGGTGGAGTGCAGGCGGTCATGTTCCAGTTGTGGTGCACGATCCTGCTGTCGAGCAACCTGACGAAGGGGGGAAGTCTCCCGTTGTTTCGGTCGGCCCTTTTCTTCATGGACTCGATTTCAAAGTCCATGGCTTTCAAGGCGCGCTGCTGGTGCTCCTGTGCCAGGGACAATTCGGAGAGGAGGTAATCTCTGACTTCCTCCACGTCCCTGGGCTTATAATTGATGGGCCCCATTTCATTGTGTTCCTTCGTGCCGTAGAGGTTCGTGATGAAGGCTCTGTTGGCGTTGACCGGCAGGCTTTCCAAAGCTTCGGCCGCGTACTCGTAGATCACGTCGGACTTCCAGCGCCCAAGGTAGGCCACCTGTGGGATGGCCCACCCATGCCGGATGTACCGTAGGGCCCCTGTTCTCCTGGTGGAGTGTCCGGATGTGCCCTTTCCATAGAGCTTCTGCCACTCCTTGACGACTTGGGACTTCTTTGCCTTCTTGCCCTTGTTGGTCACGGCG